TTATTTGTAAGTATCTTTGCTTGGATTGGCGCTGTCTAGAGTTCAGTTCAACTAAAGGATGAAATGGTATTAATTCTAATAAGGTAAGAGCAGAGTAAGTGTATAGATATCTTCATATAAACCGACAGACAACCTCTAATAATAATCACTCGGTTAAAATCAAATTCCCTGTATAAAAATTGACAGACCACAAGAATGTACACGGCCGTCTTTGTGATACAGTCGGATTTATTTTCGTAATCCTATCTTCATATAGTATTTACCAGCAATGACATTTGAGTTTACGAACTATAATGACAGTTTAGTCGCGGCGGCAACGCTTCTAATGTGGAAACGGGAAACCACATAGTTTCTTTCGACGGTTAATCCCATTCGTAGCCAATGGAGCGATAACGGCTCATGCATATTCGTCCACATAATCTTAAGTCGAATGAATGATTAGAGTCTCGCACGGTGCGTGGGCGCGGATTAACTTTTGCCTCGAATTCATTAGCGCGCGCACTGTAGGTCGGCTTAATGTTTATTCAATTTTATTGCTACACGAAAGAATAGAAAAGACTTGTACTTGTGTACTTGTATTTGTGTACTTGTACTCCACTTATTTGTAAATTCATACAGAATGGGCTGATTACTAACTTTTATTTCGTCCTTCAGGTATATTATCATAAAGTATTGGACACGGTTTTTTTCTTTTTTCACATAATCAAAACATTACAGAGATACAATGATTTGAATCGTCGTATGAAGTCACGGGCCCCCACTCCCAAACTGTGACGCGTTTTGTCTTTGTAATTTTTGGGTTGATTGACATAATATTATTTTTCAGATAAACTAACTGAGGGTTTAAATAAAACTTCGTTTACTTCACCCCGACATCACCCCTATTGCTTTGGCCCCATTTGACAGTCTGATGCTTGAGATCGACAAATATGAAGAAACATTTTGTGCATGCCAGTTAGTTCAGAATGGCTGGTGTAGACGTGTAAACTGCTGCTATCTTCGTATCTGATAGAGTCAGACGCGAAGACACCTACTTAACATAAAGTGTCACTTGCGGAGTTATTAGTTAGAAAATTCAGAAATGAATAAAGCTGTCTTCATAATATACAATAAGTAAATTAATTTTACAAGAATGTAACTTTAAGAAATGGTTACATCACTTTTATATTGCATTGTATATACTGTGCACAGCACTAAATCCGTTAAGAATCGTTCCAATGGTGTTTAAAAAAAGCTTATCTGGCCTGCTATAATTGTAGTGCCGTCAGTCTGTGACGGGCTTTCGGCCGCAAATTAGGTCGCTAAGCAAACACTTTATAGATGGTTATCACATTTTTTGTGTCTACTCGTACATTACTCCCTAGGCTACTTACGATCGAGAATCACGCTTCATTAGTTGGCATAAAAAGCTTGTGGATACGTCATCCGTATTAGACATTATATAATTATAAATTTAAAATCCCTTTCGTATCTTGCTTCCTGTAAAAACACAATTGACAACGTCTTAAAAAGTTATGTTTACCACCTTTATTCTTGCTCATATTTAAAATCTTAGTGGTGAAACCGAAATTATTATAAAATTACACATGCTAAAGTTATTTTACAGGAATTTCAATTAAATTGATTTTGAAATTACATTTTAAAGTTTAATTTACTATACAAATGATAAAAAGTAGGTAAAATAGTTTTTAATGCTTTAAACGTGAATCGTCTATCCGCCTTCGAAGGCCAATTAAAACAAAAATAGACAGATTAAGTACTTTTTTTATGATTTTTGGTAGTTTAAAATGAATGAATAAATGAATGTTTGTGTAGATTTTAATAGATTATATATATATAGATTTTAATGTTAACAGTTCTGATACAATTGAAATGTTTAAGCTAGATACGTGAGTAACGAAGGTAGATTAAAATTATATAAAACGTGATAAGGATCAAAGGATACACAGAACTGTTCTACCAAATTCGAAATTTTAAAAGAATTAGATGTTTAGTAAAGCGTTTGGAGTACAATATTTACCGACAGTTCAATTAATAATATGGGGCGAGGTGCCGCTTTTTACGATCTATCCAGAGGCATATCTAACGTTTTTATAATAGAAGCTGATATACCAATAATGACGTTGGAACTCATTGCAATCTTGGAAGCGGTTAAATATATTGAGATGAGATCTAAAGGAAATTCAGTAATACTCACCGAGATAAGAAGTGCTTTACAGCATTTAGCTCGGTGCGCCTCTGGTTATAGAAATATTGACGCTTCTGCATCGGATATGTAATAAGCACGAGATTGCAATGGAATTCTTCGTATATTGGAATAATTGGTAACAAGGAGGCAGACAATCTAGCAAAATTAACTGCAATGTCAGGGTAATATACCGAATTTTACCATATTATCAGAGGATGGATTATACATTATATTAAAAAGATTTTTACGACATAATGATAATGATGATAATATTCAGTTCCACAAATTAAATACAATAAATACTATGTATTGTTCCATGTTCAATTCAATCAATAAACAACCTGAGCAACTGTTTAAATCTTAAAAAAAACTAAGCATTACCGTAGCGGAGTCTTGTAACGATGAATTTTTCACAGAGCGTCCCAACTTAGGTCCGTAACGTGCCTCCTTGTAAATTCGTTAAGTAATTTAAAATGCTAATGGTCCGTCTGGGAGGTAAGGGGCGATGAATAATGAAAAGCTCGATACCGATCTGGTATTCAGCTGTGATTGAAATGTGTGCGTCCGCCGGATATTGACATTGGGCTCATGTTTTCTGGGTGTGTTTACAAACAGCTTTGCTCTGTGGAGTTAGAGTGTAAATTCTCTTTTGTTTCGTGTTCGAAACGCACTCGTCGTCACGCTCGGTGTACTCCGTTCACTTTATGTGAATTTTCATTTGGTATTCATCTATTGTTTATACGATAATCTTGTCTTTATGGTTTACTAATTTGTCCAAAAATGCAATCCAAGCTTACATTTTACGTATATCCTATCACTGTAGTATAGTCTCGTGTTTTCAAATATATATAATTACTTATAACGTTTTTAATACATATACAATGCGAATAACTATGTTGTCAAACCACATTACTTAGGTAATTAAAAAGTTTCCACACGACTCGCGAGCTGACACACAACATGGAACATACAAATTACATAATTAGAGCATAATAACACAAATCAAATAGTATCCTACTAAGTCTCATAACCAGATAACAAACAGTCGGTACGGCAAACAGGCAAGGCGAAATCCTTCTTATTCCGCCTCGTTAAATACCACATTTAGCTATTAACGCAAAGCTGTAAACAATTATTACCGCCCGAACTCGTAAAAGCTTAGAACGTTTCCCGGGACACGTTCACTGTCTGGTGTAGTTACATAATTGACTTGTCGCACGCTCAAATACTGGGTATATTAAGAAATATGTGACGTTTATTGTAAGTCAATACACCCGCATGTGGGCGTCCCATTATCGGACAATTCCCAACACTGACCAATGGTCAACATTACTTAGGCCTGGAGACAAACGAGAGAATACTTTTTTTTTTGGTAACTGTTTGCGCGGAGACACATCTCCGATTTCGCCTGATAGAAAGTGAGAATGGAGACTAAGGCCCGTATTACAGAATGAGAACTAAGTGTTGATCTTTACTTGAGTACAGAAAGAAAGTGGTATAGCTATGTGCTATATAGCGACATCCCTTTCTAACTATGTTCAAGACTAGATCAATCACTGAGAATCTTTCTATAATACGGGCCTAAGAGAAGCTTAGACAGACGGTAAATGAGAACCACAATACCACCTACTCTATTTTGTGGTTAAAGCCAGTTTACTTTAGTCATAACGATCAGGTAATGACAGACGCAGAGATTTCGTTCACCTGTTAGTGTGTAGAATAGAACATTGATCACATAAATATAATGTTTTGGACAACAACTTTGACTCTTCCAATGTCAAATGTGCTGTATCGTTTGAGTATGGCCTTTGGAGTAAGAAAAACCATCAATTTTGATGTTTCGCTCGCCCCACAAGGAATATCGATATTTATAGTATATCTATCAAAAGTATATTATTATTTTATTGCGTCAGACAGATCTTATTACTTTCTTTTCGAGTTCGGTCTGTATATTTATTTTCAATTACTGAACGATCTATACAGCTCCTCAAACTAAACTACTTATGATTACTTTAGTAGTGTTTTGACAAAATTGTCAGCCTTAGTTTTATTGGGACATGTTTCTAATGAACTAATTCAATCCCAAGCTATTAGTAGATAGTTAAGAATGTTGAAAAATTGGCCCATTGGTTGGTAAATTGGCAAAAAACTGTGTTAAAGAAAATAATTAAGACTTTCAATAAGGGTGGTTTTGTTGGTAACGTTAAATAATTGTTTATCAATATAAAATAAAATCGCGCTTACGATAGTAAAATGTATAATTTTCATTTAATTTTTCGAACAAGGTATCCTATGTTTTAAACAAAATAAACTTCTAGTAAGATTGATAATGCTACTACTACGCGGTAAAAATGTACGATTCCGTTATTTGTAACATACACGTATTAAAAAGCTCATGTTGTCCTAGTCTAGGCTTCAGTTAAAACAAATAAACACTATATTTTATGACGCATAAACCTATAGAAAAAGAAATGAACTTGGTCGAGATAAAATTTTCGATATCATTATTGCCGTATACACAAGACGCTCGATCACTGAAGAAGCTTACTTAAGAAAATACTTTGAAGGAAAAACACTTTAATATATTCCATGAAGGAACATAATTGAAGTATTTTTCCCACAATCCTTTTGTCATCCTATCTCTAGTACAAAGTTGCGCTACGGTGACTCACCGATAATGACTTGACACATGCCTTCCTCGTCACATTGACGGAATGCACTCGTTACTTTTATATCTTTTTTATTGGCATCTATTCATGTTTTATAAGCGAGTTCAATTTGTTGCTTTAACGTTTTATGTTTCCTTTTTCAGGGTCGGGAATCGTCTGGAGCCTACTAATGTCATAAGGTATGTATTTCTACGTGACTCACCGACATTGATTTGAGTGTTGAATTCATTTTGTAAGGAGGGAGCCCCTTCACTGTTTTCAGCACTTCTGCTATCCTTTCGTGCTAAACGCTGGTGTAATTCTATAAAAAGCGCAATACGCTATTTGACAGTATGAATAATAAAGTACGTACCAATTTTGGCATGTGTCTTTAACATGACTAACATAGCTATTAGTAACGATTTCATTATTCTGTTAAAAAAATAGTTGACAATATTACTAAAAATTATGAAAAAGAGAAATATTTTTGATAATTTGTCATGTGACCAAAAACGCCTGGGATTGCCGGAGACTAATATGACTAAACATGCTGCCAAGTGACATTAATTTGTACTGTATGACTTTTGAAGACAGCCATGTGATGTCACCTGCCAGTAACACGCCATATTTGGCACAGAAACGTTACCGCGGCATATTTGAAAACATAATTTTTATATTCGTTTTTTTGCTGATATACATACATAGAGAAATATACATATACACTGTTAATGGAGTCACTATACACAAATAAATTAATGTACTTATGTACTTTTTCAAAAACTTTTCAAATTGCCTATTGGAGTATGTATGTTATTGCACTTATTGCTCGCAGATCATTTTAAAAACATCATCGAAGTCCTCAAGCCATGAAATGGCTCCGTAGGATCATAAGGCTATACCTATATTGAACCAGGTGGACAACACAAAACGTTACTATGAAATATCCGAAACTTCTGTTTAATCTTAATTGCATAATTTAAACCTTCTGTATATACTACAAAAGTTCAAGTTCGCCAGTGGAAACGATGACAAAATACACTTTAGACTAAGAAGCTTTAGCGTTAATTTTAATAACATTTATAACTAGCAACACATCAAAAAGGGGATAAACAATACTTTTCAAGCCGTGTCGCCCGCCCGTCCATTCATTTTGTAACTGAGTCTGTTACAGTAACGGTATTTACTGAGTAAACTGCGCGGTCTGTGCCTCGGGCGTGTGTCAACCGCTCGCTGCAGATTATGCCCTAATCTCCTTTCTGTGGACTAAGCCGCTTTCGTAGCTTTGTGCCGAGGCTGTTTCGATGCCCGTCAAGTGCGTTCCAAATCTGTTTCGTAGCGAGTAGCATGTGTCACGGCGTCTGCGCAATATTGATCACGGGGGGTTTTAACAGAGTACCGTCTTTATTATTCATTTATTGCCCGTCTGAGTGGAGAAGTAACCTCCACCTTACTTAAGATCACTGTAAAATAACACTTCCTTTTTTTAAAGGGTGTTGTATTTCTGTCTGTGAGTAAGGTTCCAGGGCTCTACTGGGTCGGGGAATGGGCTAGGGTAGACAACGGTGCGAGTGATATTAACATTATAACATGTTTTTTTATAGCGAAATGATAGTTATTAAAAACTTGTTTAACAAACATAAAAACCCACTCACTTACTTCATAAAAAATTTAACCACTAATAATGACGGACAAATATACATTCAGGTCGAACTGAGACCATTCATTTTTTGAAGTCTTTAACAGACTATAATGAGATAGCTCTCTGCGAGAAATCATATTCCGGATACTTAAACTTTCGATGATTCTTTGGACACGCAAGGCAAAGCAAAAAGAAAAATCTTTCAATATTTTTAATATTTCTGCCACGATCTCTCGAGCTGGGAAAAGACAAATTGACTTTTACTTGAATAGATACTACGGAGTCAGGCCTCTCAAAATGTTTACACGGCGAGCCTTTTCGGGAAGATAACCTTAATACGACCGACAAGGAGTCACAAGTGGTAGATATCGATGGTTGCTAATGTTGGTTTAATGTAGGTTTTTAGGTGACACGTTCGCCTCTGAAGTAGATTTTTTTGCTATAAATCAGCAATATTGCCGACCTGAATCCCACGCAGATATAAAAACAAAATAAGTGAGAGTCGGACTTGCACACAAAGGGTTTCGCACCATCAGTACGGATTTAATATTGATATAACAGCAATTGTCATGGTCGAGCATATAAAACGATTTTTGTATGGGCCCCCTTTCTTTTTAAGATGAAGGCAACATTGCTTTTTACCATATTATTATCTTGTTATTGAAGCTACCTAACACCATTGACTTATGAAACAGTTAATTTTCGACAACGCCTGTAATAAAAAAGGCTCAACGAGCTTTAAACAATAATGAGTCACATGCTGGGGTAAAAACAAAAGAAAATCGTCTCCTTTGCATGTATGATGATCATTTATGACCTTGCTCGGGACATACTCGTAGGATAATGTTTAACCTGAAAAAAATTTGGTTCCTATGGGATTCCTATAAAGCTAAAATTAGCACGGAAAAATTCGCGGGCGGCCTCTAGAAAAATGATAATACATAAACGAAATTTTGTCACATCTAGTCTGGGAGTGTAAGAAAAACACAGCTACTAACTTCCTTGAACCGATAGTAAAAGATCATCAGCCGACTATTGGACTTCGTTAATTGTTGTAGGTAGTATAATAAAGGGTACGATGAGTCTTATGCTGAAAAATAAAAACAAAGAAAGCTGTTTTGAAATTGGAAACTAGATAGCTATAGTGGCCGCAGCTGCATGTCTTCGTTCAAACATTAATTTTAACGTTACCGAAAATGACATGAATCGATGGTGAGCTAATGTGGGCTTAATGCGGGCCGGCTAGACGCGTGTCCCGGCATCTCTCCGCGAGATAACAGCATAATCCTCTTTCTTTGTGCCTAAGTCACTCGGTTCCCGACCTGAGCCGGGGACGCCTTTTGGTAAATCAATTGCGATTTATGGGTATTTAGAACGAGTTTGAAGTGGCAATTGTTTGTGATGTTGTTGAGATAAAGTTTATTATTCACTGCCGCCATATACGGATAGTAGTATAGGTATAATGCAATGTATCAGCAAGTTACGAACCAAATGACGATGCGAGATTTTTTAATAAATTGTTTCAGAAATATTGTTCAATCGGAAAAAATAAAATATATACGCATAGGTACCGCTTAGTACAATATGATTTGAAATAGTTGAAATAGTTTTACAACATTTCTTTAAGACAATAGATCTGAATACACACAGAAGTTTATAACCCGACTTTGAATAAGACAGTTGGACCTTACTGCTACGTTCATTTACAACATAAACGGTTTAAATTTCGTTTTAAAAGCGGAACACGTGGCATGGTTTCCTAGGAAAATTTGCTTTGTTACAACAACAAACCACCACATGGTAGTATTCAACAGACCGTCCTTTAAAATTTGTTTACCCAACTCCCTGTGATAACAACGATCTTACCCCTGAGCTTAAAACCAGTTACAGACTGAAAGACGATGAATTTTATGTTTTATATTTGACGTTGGTTTAAAACTTTTTTGTTATGCTATCCTATTTATCTGAATAAAACAAATTTCAACGGGTTTGATGCACTGATTTTATTTATTTATTGACGTTTGCAGGAATGCGTCATCAGAATAATGATTGTCATGGTGCAATAAATAAATAAAATCAGTGCATCTAACCCGTTGAAACTTTTTTTATTTAATGAGTGACGTGCGTGAAAATCTAAGAAACTATATATCTGAACTTATCAATGGAGGTTGGGTTTTAAACCTTGAATACCTATATAACTGGACTGGATCTGGAATTATGCACCTTCATTTGGTTATATAAAGTTTTGATTTTCTATACATTCTAAGATCTTTTTTCTTTAATAATATGCAAATCCAACTTCAAGGAGCCACAGCTTTTAAACGTGAACGTTTCATAATATTGACTTGGCAGGTGTTAATTTAAATACAGCACATTTCTAATTCTTCTATTGCTGGCTAAGTTTAGACTGGCATACTCTGCGTAGCTTTGCCATAGCTTAGCTCCCAGTCTGTAACCGACTTGGCTGTGAGAAACTTTGTTACAGTTACAAATGAAGCCGTGTAGCTTGATGACGCAATACTCTATTTTGTTATGGAATTAGTAAATTAAGCAGCACCAAAAATGTTATGTTTATATTAGGTATTCTTAAGAAAATATATTATGACACTGACTAAAAAAGTACTAAACATCCGATTCTTGTCTTAAAGTGAAGAAGCTTTCGTTTAAATATACTTCTATCGAAACTATTCTAGATCTTTCAAAAGACAAATAGCCACTAAAGAAAAATAATGTTAGTACAGGGAAGCGGCATTTAATCTGAGCGAACGATCTGAAAAATCTTTTCGGCCTACTCTTTTTATTCCAAGAAACGGTAAAGTTATGTAAGAACCGTTTACAACACGTTTCCTTTTAATGCGGCCCGTTTATTGTAGCATATCGACAGATGATCGAGATTATTTATTCCTTTATTGTTGGTTACTTAACGTTCTGTTTTATTTAGATATTACAGTCTCAGGCAGCTCTCTCACTGCTTCGAATTATTCTCGGAAGAAACGAAAATATGAGAAGATAAAATGGTGTTCAATCAAATACAAGAAATATACAAAAGACCAACAAAGGAGCATGGAATTGAAAATATTTATTGATATCAATACTTTTGTTTTATCTGTCAGTTCATAAAAAAATATAATAACACCGTCAAGCTGTATTTCATAAGAAATCAAAAGGAAATCATAAGCAATGACGTAAAATTAACTATGTTGAAAACTGTAGCAGACTGCGGCAATTTCGACTCGACGATCTAAATATCTGCCTTTAACTCTCCCATGGAACACGAAATGTACCTATAATTTCAGTTGTTTTAATCGAACCGCTGGTTGATGATACTTATAAATGATAAATAAATAAATAAATATTTCCAACACTCACACCAATTAGCCTAGCCCCAAAGTAAGCACTGTAAGGCTTGTGTTATGGGATACTAGGGTAACGGATATAATACATATACTGTATATAGATAAGTATATTTATATAGTAATACATATTTAAACATCCAAGACTGGAGTACAAATGCTCGTATTCATCACACAAACATCTGCCCCCACCTGGATTCGAACCCGG